CCAAAGAGCTCGATTTTGGTCTCATCTGACAACAACACTTTCACCCAGTTCTCCTCTGAATCATTCAGATGTTCATTGGCAAACTTCAGACGGGCCTGTATATGTGCATTCTTGAGCAGGGGGACCTTGCGGGCGCTGCAGGATTTCAGTCCTTCACGGCATAGTGTGTTACCAATTGTTTTCTTGGTGACTATGATCCCAGCTGCCTTGAGATCATTGACAAGATCCTCCCGTGTAGTTCTGGGCTGATTCCTCACCGTTCTCAGGATCATTGCAACTCCACGAGGTGAGATCTTGCATGGAGCCCCAGGCCGAGGGAGATTGACAGTTCTTTTGTGTTTCTTCCATTTGCGAATAATTGCACCAACTGTTGTCACCTTCTCACCAAGCTGCTTGGCGATGGTCTTGTAGCCCATTCCAGCCTTGTGTAGGTCTACAATGTCCCTGACATCCTTGGAGAGCTCTTTGGTCTTGGCCATGGTGGAGAGTTTGGAATCTGATTGATTGCTTCTGTGGACAGGTGTATTTTATACAGGTAACAAACTGATATTAGGAGCACTCCCTTTCAGAGTGTGCTCCTAATCACCTGGGAGCCAGAAATCTTTCTGATTGAGAGGGGGTCAAATACTTATTTCCCTCATTAAAATGCAAATCAATTTATAACATTTTTGACATGCATTTTTCTGGATTTTGTTGTTGTTATTCTATCTCTCACTGTTCAAATAAACCTACCATTAAAATTGTAGACTGATCATTTCTTTGTCAGTGGGCAAACGTACAAAATCAGCAGGGGATCAAATACTTTTTTCCCTCACTGTGTGTATACAGTGGGGGGAAAAAGTATTTAGTCAGCCACCAATTGTGCAAGTTCTCCCACTTAAAAAGATGAGAGGCCTGTAATTTTCATCATAGGTACACGTCAACTATGACAGACAAAATGAGGGAAAAAAATCCAGAAAATCACATTGTAGGATTTTTTATGAATTTATTTGCAAATTATGGTGGAAAATAAGTATTTGGTCACCTACAAACAAGCAAGATTTCTGGCTCTCACAGACCTGTAACTTCTTCTTTAAGATGCTCCTCTGTCCTCCACTCGTTACCTGTATTAATGGCACCTGTTTGAACTTGTTATCAGTATAAAAGACACCTGTCCACAACCTCAAACAGTCACACTCCAAACTCCACTATGGCCAAGACCAAAGAGCTGTCAAAGGACACTAGAAACAAAATTGTAGACCTGCACCAGGCTGGGAAGGCTGAATCTGCAATAGGTAAGCAGCTTGGTTTGAAGAAATCAACTGTGGGAGCAATTATTAGGAAATGGAAGACATACAAGACCACTGATACTCTCCCTCGATCTGGTGCTCCACGCAAGATCTCACCCTGTGGGGTCAAAATGATCACAAGAACGGTGAGCAAAAATCCCAGAACCACACGGGGGGACCTAGTGAATGACCTGCAGAGAGCTGGGACCAAAGTAACAAAGCCTACCATCAGTAACACACTACGCTGCCAGGGACTCAAATCCTGCAGTGCCAGACGTGTCCCCCTGCTTAAGCCAGTACATGTCCAGGCCCGTCTGAAGTTTGCTAGAGTGCATTTGGATGATCCAGAAGAGGATTGGGAGAATGTCAGATGAAACCGAAATATAACTTTTTGGTAAAAACTCAACTTGTCGTGTTTGGAGGACAAAGAATGCTGAGTTGCATCCAAAGAACACCATACCTACTGTGAAGCATGGGGGTGGAAACATCATGCTTTGGAGCTGTTTTTCTGCAAAGGGACCAGGACGACTGATCCGTGTAAAGGAAAGAATGAATGGGGCCATGTATCGTGAGATTTTGAGTGAAAACCTCCTTCCATCAGCAAGGGCATTGAAGATGAAACGTGGCTGGGTCTTTCAGCATGACAATGATCCCAAACACACCGCCCGGGCAACGAAGGAGTGGCTTCGTAAGAAGCATTTCAAGGTCCTGGAGTGGCCTAGCCAGTCTCCAGATCTCAACCCCATAGAAAATCTTTGGAGGGAGTTGAAAGTCCGTGTTGGCCAGCGACAGCCCCAAAACATCACTGCTCTAGAGGAGATCTGCATGGAGGAATGGGCCAAAATACCAGCAACAGTGTGTGAAAACCTTGTGAAGACTTACAGAAAACGTTTGACCTGCGTCATTGCCAACAAAGGGTATATAACAAAGTATTGAGAAACTTTTGTTATTGACCAAATACTTATTTTCCACCATAATTAGCAAATAAATTCATTAAAAATCCTACAATGTGATTTTCTGGAGAAAAAAAATCTCAATTTGTCTGTCATAGTTGACGTGTACCTATGATGAAAATTACAGGCCTCTCTCATCTTTTTAAGTGGGAGAACTTGCACAATTGGTGGCTGACTAAATACTTTTTTTCCCCACTGTATTATATATAATGTATAATAAATGTATAATAAAAATGTATAATAAAAACAAATAATTGAAATATAACATTTACATAAGTATTCAGACCCTTTACTCAGTACTTTGTTGAGTACTTTGGCAGCGATTACAGCCTCAAGTCTTCTTGGGTATGATGCTACAAGCTTGGCACACCTGTATTTGGAGAGTTTCTCAAATTCTTCTCTGCAGATTCTCAAGCTCTGTCAGGTTTAATGAGGAGCGTCGCTGCACAGCTATTTTCAGGTCTCTCCAGAGATGTTAGATCGGGTTCAAGTCCGGGCTCTGGCTAGGCCATTCAAGGACATTCAGAGACTTGTCCCGAAGCCACTCCTGCGTTGTCTTAGCTGTGTGCTTAGGGTCGTTGTCCTGTTGGAAGGGGAACCTTCGCCCCAGTCTGAGGTTCTGAGCGCTTTGGAGCAGGTTTTCATCAAGGATCTCTCTGTACTTCGATCCTGACTAGTCACCCAGTCCCTGCCGCTGAAAAACATCCCCACAGTATAATGCTGCCATCATCATGCTTCACTGTAGAGATAGTGCCAGGTTACCTCCAGACGTGACGCTTGGCATTCAGGCCAAAGAGTTCAATCTTGGTTTCATCAGACCAGAGAATCTTGTTTCTCATGGTCTGAGAGTCCTTTAGGTGCCTTTTGGCAAACTCCAAGCGGGCTGTCTTGTGCCTTTTACTGAGGAGTGGCTTCCGTCTGGCCACTACCATAAAGGCCTGATTTGGTAGAGTGCTGCAGAGATGGTTGTCCTTCTGGAAGGATCTCCCATCTCCACAGAGGAACTGGAGCTCTGTCAGAGTGACCATAGGGTTCTTGGTCACCTCCCTGACCAAGGCCCTTCTTCCCCGATTGCTGCGTTTGCCCAGGCAGCCAGCTCTAGGATCTCAAGTTGTAGAAACATCTCAAGGATGATCAATGGAAATAGGATGCACCTGAGCTCAATTTCGAGTCTTATTGCAAAGGGTCTGAATACTTATGTAAATAAAGTATTTCTGTTTTATATTTTTAATAAATTAGAAAACATTTCTAAAAACCTATTTTCCATTTGTCATTATGGGGTATTGTGTGTAGATTGATGAGGAAAAATATTAATTTAATCAAAAACATAACAAAAATGTGGAAAGAGCCAAGGGGTCTGAATACTTTCCGAATGTTCTTGCGCTTAGTGGAGAAGAGCAGAGCTATTGTGAAGAAAGTTGTGAAGGAAGTGAGTTGGTGTTTATACAGGACGTACCGCCCCCCACCTACCGTCAACCAATCATGACAATGTGGAGCTGTACGGAGCCCTCCGCATTGTTACAAAATTTGAGAGGCGCACGGCGATGCGGTACAGAGCTTGATTGGCCTCTGCATGCCTACAGAGGCTCCGCAATTGCGTCACACCCTCAATACAAAGCCTCCGACCACATTTTCGGATCAAGCATAAATTGGCTTTAAGGCACCAACCACTGCAACTGGTTGCCAATATCATTTGGGATGTAGCGACATCACTGTAATAGAAGATGCACTGAAGAAAGAAAAGAAAGTGAAAGAATGAAATGAGGAATGAGAAGTCCTCAATGCTGTTTTTTGTTTTAATATGATTTTTCTTTTGAGATGTGTTTGGGCCAATAAAATGTTCTAACTTTAATTCTTCCCCCACGTTTATTAATCATTATCATTTGAAGGTTCTGTCTTGAATTAACATTGAGGGGGAGGGGGATTCGTCACACTTTTTTTCAACTAATAGCAGGAACAGCACCATCTAGTGGTCAATACCTGGTCATATCAGGTTGTATGATGGTGCATAAACTTCAATGACTAATTTCTCTGAACAGGGGAAAATAACCATCACCAAATTTACTGAGAATACATTACATCACAGGTGGCTGGTGGCACCTTAATTGGGGAGGATGGGCTCATAGTAATGGCTGGAACGGAATAAATAGAATGGTATCAAACATATGGTTTGCATGTGTTTGCTACCATTCAATTAACTCCATTCTAGCCATTATTATGAGCTGTCCTCCCCTCAGCACCCAACTGTGCATTACTTTGTATGAATAAATAATACTTCTAGCCGCAGCTTCACACTACTTGTCAGACATCGGGAACTGATACTGTATACTGGCCGTTGGGGTGGGCATGGTGTGGGTCCGTAGGTAGCTTATGACAATTTCTTTGGATTACTCATGTCTTACTCATTGGTAGGATAAAGTTTGGTCCAAATCGGATGTTAGGTACTATATTTATTTAATATTATGTGAATCCTATAAATAAAAGGGCCAATTTGGGTGCAATCAGTTAGCTACATTTCTCAGAGATCAAATTATATTTCAACAAAACAATGTTAAAGGAATGCTAATCTTTTATGTTTCTAACTGCAGAAACCATTTCAAAACAGTCTGAGATGGTAGGTGTCATGGCTTCCTGAAATGACATGGAATGACACTCTACCCTTTGTCTCTAGTTAGTTCAAGTAACATGTGACAGTCATGTAGGGAGATTGCAATGTATTGTTGTAAAGTAGATTACACATTAGCTACATTTGATGAACTCTTGTGTTCTACAGTGCATCATGTCACGTCCCAGTACTGCCTCCCACAAGCCTGCCATGGGCCAATCCAAACACTCTGGTGGTGGGGGGCCCAGGGGCAAAGGGCTGAAAGACATACGCATCGACGAAGAAGTTAAGATTGCTGTGAACATCTCCCTTGAGAGATTTCAGTACAGTGAGCAAAAAGGTAAGAGAAAATGGTCATTCTACTCATGCTGATGAAGTGGTGCTTCGTGGAGAAATGTGGATTACAGTGCCTTCGGAAAGTATTCACACCCCTTCACTTTTTCCACATTTTGTTACGTTACAGCCTTATTAAAAAATGTATTAAAATGTTTTTTTCCCCCTCATCAGTCTACATACAATACCCCATAATGACAAAGCAAAAACAGTTTAATGTTTGCTAATTTATAATAAATAAAATAGAAAAATATAACATTTACATAAGTATTCAGACCCTTTACTCAGTACTTTGTTGAAGTACCTTTGGAAGTGATTATAGCATCGAGTCTTCTAGGGTATGACGCTACAAGCTTGGCACACCTGTATTTGGCGAGTTTCTCCCATTCTTCTCTGCAGATCCTCTCAAGCTCTGTTAGGTTGGATGGGGAGTGTTGCTGCACAGCTATTTTCAGGTCTCTCCAGAGATGTTCAATCGGGTTCAAGTCTGGGCTCTGGCTGGGCCACTCAAGGACATTCAGAGACTTGTCCCAAAGCTGCTCCTGCGTTGTCTTGGCTGTGTGCTTATGGTCATTGTCCTGTTAGAAGGTGAACCTTCGCCCCAGTCTGAAGTCCTGAGCGCTCTGGAGCAGGTTTTCATCAAGGATCTCTCTGTACTTTGTACTTTGCTCCATTCATCTTTTCCTCGATCCTGACTAGTGTCCCAGTCCCTGCCGCTGAAAAACATCCCCACAGCATGATGCTGCCACCACCATGCTTCACCGTAGGGATGGTGCCAGGTTTCTTCCAGATGTGACGATTGGCATTCAGGCCAAAGAGTTCAATCTTGGTTTCATCAGACCAGAGAATCTTGTTTCTTATGATCGTAGAGTCTTTAGGTGCAAACTCCAAGCGAGCTGTCATGTGCCTTTTACTGAGGAGTGGCTTCTGTCTGGCCACTCTACCATAAAGGCCTAATTGGTGGAGAGCTGCAGAGATGGTTGTCCTTCTGGAAGGTTCTCCCATCTCCACAGAGGAACTCTAGAGCTCTGTCAGAGTGACCATCGGGTTCTTGGTCACCTCCCTGACCAAGGCCCTTCTCCCCCGATTGCTCAGTTTGGCCGGGCGGCCAGCTCTAGGAAGAGTCTTGGTGGTTCCAAACTTCTTCCATTTAAGAATGATGGAGGCCACTGTGTGCTTGGGGACCTTCAATGCTGCGGAAATGTGTTGGTACCCTTCCCCAGATCTGTGCCTTGACACAATCCTGTTTCGGAGCTCTACGGACAGTTCCTTCTACCTCATGGCTTGGTTTTTACTCTGACATGCACTGTCAATTGTGGTACAGGTGTGTGCCTTTCCAAATCATGTCCAATCAATTGAATTTACCACAGGTGGACTACAATGAAGTTGTAGAAACATCTCAAGGATGATCAATGGAAACAGGATGCACCTGAGCTCAATTTCGAGTCTCATAGCAAAGGGTCTGAATACTTATGTAAATAAGGTATTTCTGTTTTGCTGAGGATTTTTTTTATTTAATCCATTTTAGAATAAGGCTGTAACGTAACCAAATGTGGAAAAAGTCAAGGGGTCTGAGTACTTTCCGAAGGCACTGTATATGATGCATTATACTAAATCATTAGTTATTTTGATTTTTACAGAAATTGAGTTTCCTTCCTCCCTGTCCAGTACTGAGAGGGCCTTCATCCATCGCTTTGCGCAGTCCCTGGGATATATCTCTAAAAGCAGAGGGTGAGCTATCCAAATTGACATCAGTGGTCAGAACCCCTAGCCAGGTTGGTTGTTTAGCAATAAAACCGACACGTGCGCAACTATGGGGCAAAACAGACTGGCTTGTCTTAGATTGTTGACAACATGTAAACTATATTTTGTCTCCATGTTTATTGAAAACATAAATACATTTGCACAATGAGAACTTGTTGTCTCTCCAATACATCGTTAGAGTTAGCTAGCCAATTTCTGCCCTATTAGCATTGACATGAAATCAGTCAAAACACCTCAACACAAGACACTAGCTGAAACGAGCCATCTACAATTCCCGACATGGCAGCTTCTTGTCATTGTTGCTAGCTATCTGACTGTTCATAATCATAACAAACACACGGCTTCCGGCCACATCAATGCGCGCGCATAATGTTTTTGAAATGTTGTCAGCCAACCTGTCTATAGTCTTTAGGTCAACCTCAGATACTCCCATATACACTGAGTGTACATAGCATTAGGAACACCTTCCTGATATTGAGTTGCACCCCGTTTTGCCCTCAGTACAGCCTCAATTTGTTGGGGCATGGACTCTACAAGGTGTCAAAAGCATTCCACGGGGATGCTGGCCCATGTTGACTCCAATGCTTCCCACGGTTGTGTCAAGTTGGCTGGATGTCCTTTGGGTGGTGGACCATTCTTGATACACATGGGAAACTGTTGAGTGTGAAAAACCCAGCACCATTGCAGTTCTTGACACACTCAAACCGGTGTCCCTGGCACCTACTACCATACCCCGTTCAAAGGCACTTCAATCTTTTGTCTTGCCCATTCACCCTCTGAATGGCACACATACACAATCCATGTCTCAATTGTCATAAAGCCTTAAACATCCTTTAACCTGTCTCCTCCCCTTCATCTACACTGATTTGAAGTGAATTTAACAAGTGACATCAATAAGGGATCATAGCTTTCACCTGGATTCACTCTATGTCATGGAAAGAGCACGTTTTGTACACTGTGTACAAGCGAAACTTGAGTAGAAAAGTTTGTGTATCCTTCCCCGACATTGTACCGTAAGTGTAACTCCCTAAAAGCCTCCCTCAGGTTTACTAAAGTGTACTGTGCTTCAAGCCTAACAGCCTTATTTAATTCATTTTCAGAAAAGGATCAAGCCGCACCCTCACTATCAGAAAGAAGGATGGCTCAGAGACGGCCCAGTCCATCATGTCTTTCAACCTTTCCCACAATTCCAAGCACGTGGTGCGCAGCCTGCTGCAGAGGTTCCCCATCACCAACAAGGAGTGCACAGACCTACTGCCTCACACTGAGAGGGGCCTGTCTGTGGCCATGGAGGCTGGTGAGTGGCAGTTACATCTCAGGGTTAATAATGCATTGATATCAATGGGAGACCTTGCCAATCTTTATGTCAGATGTACTAATGAATGAATAAACGATCAATGTGTTAACAATATGTCTTGACAATACAAAGTATAAACATTCCTGTGCCCCTCTTTTTTTCTCCACCAGAGAGCAGCCGTGACAAGAACAGGACCAGCGGGCGGCTCAACAACGGCATCCCCCAGGTGCCCCAGAGGAGGGGCCCGTCTGAGCTAGACTTCTTCCGCCGCTCACTGCCTGTGTACGAGCGCCAGGAAGAGATCGTCCAAGTCATCAAAGACAACCGTGTGGTCCTAGTGGTGGGGGAGACCGGCTCGGGGAAAACTACACAGGTGAGGGGGAGAAACGTTTTAAATTCACTGTCCAAATATGGGATCTTGCTGTTCTTATGCTCTACAAAGGTATTGCATTGGTATGATAAAGGTGTTACATTTGTAAGTTCCTGATCAGCTAGAAACTAAATGGGAAGTGTTTTGCCATTCCAGATCCCACAGTTCCTCCTGGACGACTGCAGCCGAAATGGGATACCCTGTCGGATCTTCTGCACCCAGCCCCGGCGTCTGGCAGCCATCGCTGTGGCAGAGCGGGTTGCCGCGGAGAGAGGGGAGAGCATCGGTCAGACCATCGGCTACCAGATCCGCCTGGAGAGCAGGTAGGAGAAGAGCGAGGGAGGAAGGGAGGCACTAACTCGGTCTACTTTCACTGGGCTACTGTGCGGAAATTAATTACTCTGTTTGACCCCTCAGGGTTTCTCCTAAGACGCTGCTGACCTTCTGCACCAGCGGAGTCCTGCTAAGAACACTGATGGCTGGAGATGCCACAATGTCCACTGTTACTCACGTCATTGTGGTGAGTACAAGTTACTGTGATCCTTTTGTTATAGTTCACTGCTTTTACTGAATGAATGCACATCAATATGAGTTAATCCTGTACTTCCTGCCTCTTGTCCAATCAGGACGAGGTTCACGAGCGGGACGGCCTGAGTGACTTCCTGCTGACCAAGATGAGGGACATGCTCCAGACGATGCCCAATCTGAAGCTCATCCTGTCCAGCGCTGCCCTGGACGTGGAGCTGTTCCTCCGCTACTTCAGCTCCTGTCCCGTCATCCACAGTAAGTCAACCCCATGTGTTTGGATAGGCCACATACAGAGAGGAGGGTGCAGAAATCACTACAGAATCACCTAATATATTCATCTGAAATTGGGACCGGGATTCATCAGTGAAACCGTTACCTGCCAAAGCCAGGTAATTGCAGGGAAAGACCTCTGTATGGAAGGGGCTACTGCTTGTCTTGACTGGTCCTGCAAGCACTGACTTGTTAAAGTAAGAATACTTTTTTGATCTAGTCAAAGGAAGACCATTTGAGGTGAAGCAACTCTTCCTGGAAGACATCTTGAGGACAACGGGCTATGCAAACAAAGACATGATGAAATACAAAAAGGAGATCCAGAGGGGTAACTACCAACCATCTCTCAATCCTGGTTTGCTTGATTTCCATTTTGATTTCTGAACACTGTTTTGGACCCATGTCCAGTTTTGGACTCTCCCAGACTGAACAAGTGCATGTGTGTGTCGTCTCTGGCAGAGGAGAAGCAGCAGACGTCTTTGACAGAGTGGTGTAAGGTCCAGGAGGGCGGCTCCCGCCAGGAGCCCCAGAGGGAGAAGACCTCAGCCTCCCGTGTCCTCCAGGAGAACGACTTGCTGGATGATGGAGGGGACAGTGTCTTCAACCAGCTGGTGAGAACAACAGTTAGTTTGGGTTGAATATGGGGGCCATGCACATTTCTCAATATCTGAGTTTTCTATGTTATTTTCTCCCAGTTGCTTCAGTTATTTTCAGTATATACTGTGCTGAAGAGATGCCACTAATTATTTTCTGATTATTCATTGATTGCTCCTTATGATTTAGTTCACCAACATCACAGGGGATATATTTCCTGGTTCTTACTAAGTGGCACTGGGTTTGCTATCAGTTTGATACAGGATGTGTTGTTTCAGAATGAGAAAGATGTGGCGTCATTGGACCCGTGGCTGCTGAAGGAGATGGACGCCTGCATCTCAGACATCTTCCTCAACCAGGACGCTGACGCCTTCATCCAGCTCTTCAATCTCATCCTAAGTGAGAACGTCAGCGGTAAGATGGGTTTTGTATGCGTCCTTAAATATGTGCCCCAGTTTACTCTTGTATCTCTATCTTATTTCTGTATGAAATAATGACACCAACATTATAATTTTTTTATTTTTAAAACAAAAAATAAATCTTTAATCCCAAGGGGTTGAGAGTAATATTCCCAATATTTCCCAGCCTGATATGTCCTCCTCCCCTTCTGCTTCTCAGTGGACTACATGCACAGTGAGACGAGCGCCACTCCCCTCATGGTGGCAGCAGGTCGAGGCTTCCTCAGTCAGATTGAGCAGCTGCTGAGTATGGGAGCCAGCATCAGAATCAAGGCCTCCAATGGCTGGTAAGGGTTCTTTGAATAACTGTATGAATGCATCCCCTTTTTATTTACTCTATACACCATAAATTAGTCTGAAATGTTGATCAGTATTTGGTTTGTTTCAGGACTGCACTGGACTGGGCCAAGCACTTCCAGCAGGCAGAGGTGGTGGACCTACTAGAATCCTACCTGTAAGAGCACCATGTATCACTATCATTGCTATGAATGACGATATAAAAACCCTTCCTTATTTTTGTTTAGGATGATAACAGAAATACTCTCTTCCTTGGTAGCTCATCCCTGGAGGCGGGGAAGCTGGACGAGTGGTCCCTGGTGCAGGCAGCCACCACAGAGATGAGCCCGGAGGACCAGGAGCTGCTCAAGGAATACCACCACAGCTTTGACGACGAGAGGGTGGATCTGGACCTCATCATGCACCTGCTGCAAAACATCTGCACCAGCTCCGAGGAAGGTGACAGATTGTCTTGTCTAGTGACTACCTGAAAGTCTTGTGTGGTGACTACATGACGAGTGTTATCTAACAACTACTTGATAGTCTTGTGTGGTGACGAGTGTTATCTAACGACTACTTGATAGTTTTCTCTAGTGACTACTAAATGGTCTTGTATTTTTAAAACTTTTCTAAATGTTTGATGCAAAGTCAAGAGCTTGGTACTATAAGGTTCTATCTGCAAAAATATGATTCTGAGCTAATTTTCTTTAAAGTTCCGAACTCTCCTTGTTTTGAAGGGTGTCAGCAATTTTTATCTTGTATTCTTTTGAACTTAACAACATTAATTTGTGTATTTAGAGTACTATATAGGTAGAGAACATTGAACAGAACAGGGCTATGTCAATAACTCAATTTGGACAAAAATGCAGATAGATCCTTATATCCCAAGCTCTCAACGTGGCAGTGTACATTTTTCCCTTGATTGTATTGAACATATAGTTTGATTTTATGTAAAATATTTTCTATGTCAGGTGCGGTGTTGATCTTCCTCCCCGGATACGATGAGATAGTGGGTCTGAGGGACCGTATCCTGTACGACGATAAAAGATTTGCAGACCACTCCCAAAGGTACTGTCAGTTAAATGAGTGGCGAGAGCAACGTGTCCCTCTCAACATCATTTAATTGAGCCATCAGTATTTCAACATAGCTCTTGTCTATTTGTGTCTGATTCTGATCAATCTATTCACGTTTTATTGTTCTAATTTGATGCTCACTTCCATGATGTTCCTGCTTATGCAACCCAAATGTAAATTTACACCCAACACATTTGCAAGTCAGATTAGGAAGCATCATTATATTGACAAAAATTGCCAAATATACCTTTTTATAGAAGAAATATGGATTATTTGGAGGAGACAATTAAGAGATTTTCTGTTTTTGTCCTGTTTGAACCACATCTAGAACCTCAGATCTGCGTGTTGTTTCTTTATAGATACCAGGTCTTCACACTCCACTCCAACATGCAGACCTCAGATCAGAAGAAAGTGCTGAAGAACACTCCTGCTGGGGTCCGGAAAATAGTGAGTCTATTTTTACATCTGCTGTGCTGGCTAACACACCAAAGACCAGTTTCACCAAGCCTACTTCTGGGGCCCAAAGTGTTCCTTGAAGCAAAATACCATTCAACCCCTTCTTCTTGTTCAGACATCAAGTATTTTCCTCTCTTCCTCAGATTCTCTCCACCAACATCGCAGAGACGAGTATCACCATCAACGATGTGGTGTTTGTTATCGACGCAGGAAAAGTCAAAGAGGTTATGATCACTTTGAAAACAAGAGTGTTTCCCCCCCCCCCCCCGACAGAATAGCAAATCTGATATGTGGTTGTTTCCCCATCAAAGAAGTCATTTGATGCCCTGAACCACGTGACCATGCTGAAGATGGTGTGGATCTCCAAGGCCAGTTCGCTGCAGAGGAAGGGCAGGTGAAGCACAGATTCAGATATTCCCCATGTAAATTGTACATGATTGATTTCTATCAGAGCCCTACCACAGAGGCACTCCATGCACTATAGACATATCATGATGATAAGGGTGTATCATCTCTTATGAAGCCTCATAGCGTCTTAAGTCCTCTTATGAATGTGTCCTATGTTGTGTTGTGTGACAGAGCTGGGCGTTGCCGACCAGGGATCTGCTTCCACCTCTTCAGTCGCCTCCGCTTCAACAACATGCTGGAGTACCAGGTCCCCCAGCTACTGAGGATGCCCCTGCAGGTACACACACACACACGCGCTTCACTGAACGTATGAAACGGGAACATACTTATACAGACAAAGTTGTTATCAATATAAACACTTGCATGCAAGCATATACCTCACAGGCAGTGTTGTTTGTGGTAGTTAACTCCCTCCTCCCCTCTCTCTCTCTTTCAGGAACTGTGTCTCCACACCAAGCTGCTGGCCCCCATCACTTGTTCCATCGCTGAATTCCTTTCCAAAGCACCCGAACCACCTCCCATCCTCATCGTCAAAAACGCAGTGCAGATGCTCAAGGTAAGAGCTAGTATTTTTAGTTTTGAACTGATCATGACCTAAATAACTTTTTTCCCACTTTATCATTGACTACTGTTGTCATCGAGGTGGAGGGCATCGGTTCTTGGCACTGTGACACTACCTAATGAACATAGGGAGAAAACAACACTAACCATAACATTTATCCATAGACCATAGACGCCATGGATCCGTGGGAGGACCTGACGGAGCTGGGCTACCACCTGGCTGACCTGCCTGTGGAGCCCCACCTGGGCAAGATGGTTCTGTGTGGCGTGGTGCTCAAGTGCCTGGACCCCATCTTGACCATCGCCTGCACGCTGGCCCACCGCGACCCCTTCGTGCTGCCCTCCCAGGCCTCCCAGAAGAGGGCATCCATGTTGTGCCGGAAGCGCTTTACTGCAGGGACCTTCAGCGACCACATGGCCCTGCTCCGAGCCTTCCAGGTAAGGGGTGAATTTGAGGTTTAAAGAATTAACTCATTTAATTGCTGTTGAGATGTTTAGAGCTAGATATATTTAATCCAAAGCATTATTAGCAGCTTGATTTGACTGCACAAATCACATTGAAAAAGCACTGTCCAGACGACATGTTCCTAACAATCCATCTCTCCTGTGGTGTTGTAGGCATGGCAGAAGGCCCGCAGCGACGGCTGGGAGAGGTCCTTCTGTGAGAAGAACTTCCTGTCTCAGGCCACCATGGAGATCATCATAGGGATGAGGACCCAGCTCCTGGGACAGCTCAGAGCCATAGGTCAGCCTTACAGTGGTACTGAGGGCTCAGGTGGAGCATGATGGACCAAGGTTGTGGGTTTCTATACTGGATATTAATTTGACTGCAGGTAGTGTTTGGATAAAGACTTATGCTCTACCGAAGCCCACACAACCTCCACCTGACCCTGTGTGAAATGAATAGCCTTGTGAGCCATCCACTTGTCTTGGTGCCCACCATATCCTGTGGCCTTTTTGGTTGTCTTCGCCCCCCTCACATCGATACATTGATTCCTTTTTCATTGTGTGTTCCACCACCAGGCTTTGTGCGGGCGCGGGGCGGCGGAGACATCCGCGATGTGAACCTGAACTCTGAGAACTGGTCAGTGGTGAAGGCAGCCCTGGTGGCCGGGATGTACCCCAACCTGATCCACGTGGACCATGAGAGCTGCTCCCTCTCCGGGGCCAAGGAGAAGAGGGTCCGCTTCCACCCCACCTCCATCCTCAGCCAGCCACAGCCCCATAAGAAGGTAGCTAGCACACATCCTCTGTTCACCTACTTTACTTATTCCTTATTTAGCTCCTAGTGGAGCAAAGTGTCTTCTTCAGTGAACCCTGTTTAGGGCAGTTTTCTTAAAATCAGGTGCTTCCTGACTTCTCCATCTCTCTTTACTGTATGCTTACATTCAGTCCCAAACTATAATATACTCAAACCATTTTAACCCCACCCTGACTCTAAAAACATGTTTATACCTTTTCTCCATCTCTTAGATCCCCCCAGTCAATGGCCAGGTGGCGGCCGTCCAGTCCCTGCCCACCGATTGGCTGATCTATGATGAGATGACACGAGCCCATAGGATAGCTAGCATCCGCTGCTGCTCTGTGGTCTCCCCACTCACCGTAGCCATCTTCGGGGGCTGCGCCAAACTGCCCAGCACAGCCCTACAGGAACCTGCCATTCAGAAAGGTAGGGTTATCTAACTGAAGGAAACATCCTTCAGTTAGATAAGTCTTGCCTATATTTGCACTTAATATGTTGAAATCTGATGGTTCCAAAGAGACTCTTGTAAATATCACTCTCTGCCTGTATGGCCCTATGTGCCTGCTGTAGATGACGTGGTGAATGAGAGCAGTGACAGTGAGATGGAGGATCGCTCCACGGCCCACCTGGCTCAGATGAAGATCGACGAGTGGCTCAACTTCAAACTGGACAGAGAGGTGAGGACATAGCTTGGTTATTTTGCAGTGCTGATATGCTCTGTTTGTACTCAAAGGGCCCTTCAAGCAATACAACTGGGCATTTAATTTAAACAGCAGTTTTGCATCTTGTGCTCATCACCTTCCAGTGTTTCCCCTATATTAATTTAGCAGCGGTGGGCCCAGTGCAGTCAAACATGATTTTCCAGTTTTTTATATAAGTATATTTCCACACTATGACGTTGGAATAGTACTGTGAAATTGTGAAAATGATAATGCCTTTTTAGTGTATGAGCTGTTTGAAAAGACATCTCTTACACATTTTTGACTGCCCAGTGCAGATTTTCCTGTGTTTTATATACAGTACCAGTCAAATGTTTGGACATAGCTACTCATTCCAGGGTTTTCCTTTATTTGTACTATTTTCTACATTGTAGAATAATAGTGAAGACATCAAAACTATGACATAACACATATGGAATCATGTAGTAACCAAAATAGTGTTAAACAAATCAAAATATATTTTATACTTGAGATTCTTCAAAGTAGCCAACGTTTGCCTTGATGACAGCTTTGCACACTATATTGTAGGGGAAAACTGTAGGGGAAACTGCCTTCTCACCTGTATAACCCACTCTTCTTCTCCATCCCTCTGTCTGTCAGGTGGTGGGTCTGGTGTTCCAGCTGAGGCAGAAGTGGCACGGTCTGTTCCTGAGGAGGATCCGCTCCCCCTCCAAGCCCTGGTCTCAGCTGGATGAGAACACCATACGGGCCCTGGTGTCGGTCAGTAGGACACTCTGGCTTAAATTATGAAAGAAATACTGGAAATAACACAGTAAATGGGCCTGTAAACCTGGTAGCTGTACCACCTGGTACCTGTATCTGTCACTGACCCATACATCCCCATCCTGTCTCCAGGTGCTGGGGACTGAGGATCAGACTGCAGGGCTGCAGCAGCCCACAGGGATTGGCCAGAGGCCCCGGCCCATGTCCTCTGAGGAGCCACCCCAGACCTCATCCTGGAGGAACGCCAACAGCAGGAGGACCCCAGGCCCCACAGCCAGCCCCAACGAACTCCTCATCCCCACCCCATCACAAACAGCCACAGACAGGTGATGAGAGGGGGTTGGATGCGTCAGTATGGGAAATGGACCAACTACGATCAAAAGTTGTATCTCAGTATTCACAATGCCTTATAGGTCAACAAAGTATATCAATCTGTTAATTACGTTTTTGTCAATCTGATCTATATCCAGTTCCTGGCCAGTCCACTAACCCACCCAGACCTCCCTCCCCTCCCCTCCCCTCCTCCAGGTCTTCCAGACTGTCCCCTGCCTCCATACTGTCCCCTGCCTCGGCCCTCCTGCAGCCCAAAGCCCCCCATGGCAGCAGGGACAAGGGCTCCAAGTTCCCCACAGATGACCACTCCTCCACCACCAAGTCTCCTGAATCGGCTTCACTCGGCCTCCACAGCCCCTGTGCCAGCCCCTCCCCCACTTCATCAGGAAAGGTACACAAATGACCAATATCTTTATTAGTACAGCTTTTGCTCCAGCAACGGTTGAAGTCATTTATCACAGTGTGTAAATCTAAATCTATCATAGTTTAACTCAATCGCTCCCTCAGTGCTCCAAGTCTCCATCCCCGCAGCCAGGAGGTGTGACGGTGCGTTACTTCATCATGAAGAGTAGCAACCTGAGGAACATTGACATCTCCCAGCAGAGAGGAATCTGGTCCACCACGCCCAGCAACGAGCTAAAACTCAACAGAGCCTTCCTGGAGAGCAGCCTGGTTTTCCTGGTCTTCTCTGTCCAGGGCTCCGGACATTTCCAGGTGTGTGTGTGTGTGTGTGTGTGTGCGTCTGTGGAAATGGAGAATAGCAGACTGTAACACAGGGGTCCCCAAACTTTTTCCTGTGAGGGCCACATAACTTTTCCCTTCTCTGATGGGGGGCCGGTGTCAGTTTGTAACAGAAAAAGTGTGACGATCGTAGGGGAGCTTAAAAAATTTATTGTTTTCCAGAAAGCCACACATAACCAAATAACCCTTTCCAGGTTCTTTACAGAAAAAAAGTCAGGAAACAAATAATAACACTATTAATGAAATAAATAATAACTAAATAACCCTCTCTGAGTTCTTCACAGAAAAAACAGGAAATAAATAACACTATTTATGAAATAAATAATAACTAAATAACTCTCTCTGGGTTCTTCATAGAAAAAAAAGCCATGGAACATTAACTTTCTGTTGTGCCATGCACAATCTTAACAGATAAAAGTTCAGCTCAGTTGTCAGAGCAGAATCTCTCTGACACATATGAGCAGTCTCTTAAAGTTCTTGTGTTCCTTCCTTATAATCCTTTTGTAGGTTCCAGTAGGCTTGTAGACACCGCTGTTTGCAGCTCTCTCTCATCAACTTCCCTGTGAAAACCACAAAGGAAGCAGGTTGAGAAACTGAACTAAGTGATACAGCACCTACACAGCACAATACATTTCACTACCAGTATGGTTGTAAAGATGGATTTTATCCCAGTAGATTTTATTATGATTATATTTGTTTATGCTCAGAATGACTCATTCAAGTCAGAAAAGTGAGCTTACCTATGTATGTTCATCAGTGTGAACTGTGGGCCTGCATCTGGCTGGTGAGAAGTTGAATATCAGGTTCCATTCTAGTTACAGCCAGTCTCAAGCACTGATGCAAATGTTCATCTGTCAATCTTGATCTCATCGGAGTTTTCAGCAGTTTCATGCGAGAAAAGGTTTTCTCGCAGATATACGTGCTGCCAAAAACTGTGGACATTTTCATTGCGTGTTTTTTGATGTTTGGATATGTGTCGTTTGGGAGGGCGGCATAGAAGTCAATGAGACTGTTGGGCTTGAATGCGTCTTTCAGAACATCACAGTTCTGTAACTCAGCCAACTCAAACTGATATGAAGGCTGGGCTTCATCAATGTCGGCAACAAAGGGGTTCTGAAAAAGACGGATGTCTTTTGCATGAACATGTAGTTCACTGAATCGCACACCGAACTCCGCCTTCAGCATTTCCAGTGCTTCCACGCACTTTTCAGCTGGGAACGGGACCGCTGGGTTCTCTGTCGACAGGTTTTGGGTAGCAGGAAGATGGACGAAGTTGCGCTTTTTCACTTGTTCCAAAAGCAGCGCTAATTTCACCTCAAATGCTTTTATGTGTGAATACATGTCGCAAATGAGTTTCCCCTCGCCTTGTAGCTGCAAGTTAAGGCTGTTAAGTATTTCTGTCACGTCTGTTAAAAATGCGAGGTGCCATTTCCATTCTGGGTCGATCAGCTCTGGGACCGTTTTGTCTTTTAAATGAAGAAATGCATTAATTTCGGGTAGCAGCTCGTAAAAACGCCTCAAAACTCTGCCCCGGCTCAGCCATCGGACCTCTGTGTAGTACAGCACATCTCCGTGCGTAGACTCCAGTTCAGACAGGAATTCTTGGAACTGCCTGTGTTTAAGTCCCTTTGCTCTGATTAAGTTTATGCACGACACCACAACCTTCATTACAGAATCCCACGTCAACACTTTGCAGCACAGTGCTTGCTGGTGAATTAGGCAGTGGACTCGTAGCGGGGCGGTGAGACCCCTTTTTTTCCAACTCCCGGTTCATGCGTCCTATTAGACCGCGAGTTTCGCCCACCATGCTAGGAGCCCCGTCAGTCGTGATGCTAGCTAGCTTTGACCAGTCCAGGTCCAACTTCTCCATGGTTTGGCACACTTTGTCAAAAATATCCTCTCCCGTTGTAGTCCCTTTGAGACTTTGGAGGGCTGCCAGCTCCTCGCATATCTCAAAGTTTGCGCTAACTCCACGAATAAAAATGAGCAGTTGCGCTGTGTCTTGCACGTCCGTGCTCTCATCCAGTGCTAATGAAAAAAGGTCAAATTCTTTCGTCTTCTGCTGCAGCTGGGCATATACATTACTCCCGATTTCTTCAACGCGTCTGGTGATTGTACTCGCCGACAGACTTACGGCATTAAATGCATCTTTCTTCTCGGGACACACCTCCTCCGCGACAGCATCCATACATTTCTTAACAAACTCTCCGTCAGTGAAAGGCTTACCGCTGCTTGCTATCAGTTTAGCAACCCGAAAGCTGGCCCGAACGGATGCCTGGTTCAGCTGAGCTTGGCGTACAAATGTATTCTGCTGAGATAGTAGTCCACTTTTTAGCTTTGAGAGTTTGTCTGCTCGTATTTGGCCTTGCAAGCTATCGTACTTGTCTTTGTGACGGGATTCATAGTGTCGGCGAAGATTGTATTCTTTGAATACCGCCACCGTCTCTTGACAGATGAGACAAACAGCCTTTTCTTTGCATTGAACAAAAAAATAATCGTTTGTCCACTGCAGGTTAAATACCCTGCATTCTGAATCAATTTTTCTCTTACTGTAACATGTCATTTTCGGGCCTCTCAGGGCTATGCGCGGATGATGTCGGTCATCGGACAGGAGCCCTGTCAGGACTGGGGCTCCACAGGGCTGGGGGGGGTTTTCAGTGTGGAGTGGACCCGGAAGGAGATCCTGCCCTTCCAGTATGCCCAGCAGCTGCTCAACCCCTGGAACGACAACAAGAAAGTGCAGATCAGCAGAGACGGACAGGTGGGTTACCTAACATCAATACAGTCAGAACATCTCCACAGACCAGGACCAATATAGACAACTGAACAAAGAGATATCTTATGCTGCTAATATGGTCAAAACTCCCCTACAGACTACTGTCAAGATGATCTCACTATCTGAGGACAATAGAGCTTGCCAGCTTGTAGTGCTAAACAACAGAAATTAGTTAGCATTATGCTCATGTAAGTCGCTCTGGATAAGAGCGTCTGCTAAATGACTAAAATGTAAATGTAAATCTACCTCTGGTTCGTTGGCCATTCCTATGAAGTCCTGTGTGGTTCAGTTGTTAGAGCATGGTGCTTGCAAAGCCAGGGTTGTGGGTTCGATTCCCACGGTGGACCAGTATGAAAAAAGGAAAATGTATGCACTTACTACTTTAAGTCGCTCTGGATAAGAGCGTCTGCTAAATTACTAAAAATGTAAAATGTCTATGGGATACATGCTGAAAATAAGGTCTAAGTTTAACACAGGCTTAGGAGATCTTATACGTTTTGTTCTATGAGATAATGTCAGTTAACATGAACTTTATTAATTATTAAGCCTTTTTGTGCTTGTTTTGAATACTTAAATGCTTCAAAATTCACAGAAAGTGATGTTAGCTGATGAAGATCATCTCATAGAACAAAACGTATAAGATCTCCTAAGCCTGTGTTTACCACAGACCTTATTTTCAGCGTTTATCCAAAAACCCTACAAAAAAAAACATGAATATCCCAATAGGCTTTGGCCAACGAGCGATGGCGGAGTTCTCCTCCGTTAGTGCCTACAAAAAGACGCCATTACTATTGCACTCTATATTGTCAAGATGACCCCTCCGACAAACAACATTCACTATACAAAGACTAATTAAACAAACATACTAAAATGGCTTACATTTTAAGATTTCAAGTGAGATTACTTGAACTATGCACATACTGTATATTGCTACATACACTACATGACCAAAAGTATGTGGACACCTGCTCGTCGAACATCTCTTCCAAAATCATGGGCATTAATATGGAGTTGGTCCCCCCTTTGCTGCGATAACAGCCTCTTCTCTTCTGGGAAGGCTTTCCACTAGATGTTGGAACATTGCTGCGGGGACTTGCTTCCATTCAGCCACGAGCATTAGTGAGGTCGGGCACCGATGTTGGGCGATTAGGCCTGGCTCGCAGTCGGCATTCCAATTCATCCCAAAGGTGTTCAATGGGGTTGAGGTCAGGGCTCTGTGCAGGCCAGTCAAGTTCTTCCACACCGATCTTGACAAAATATTTCTGTATGGACCTCGCTTTGTGCACAGGGGCATTGTCATGCTGAAACAAGAAAGGGCCTTCCCCAAACTGTTGCCACAAAGTTGGAAGCACAGAATTGTCTAGAATGTCATTGTATGCTGTAGCGTTAAGATTTCCCTTCACTGAAACTAAAGGGCCTAGCCCGAACCATGAAAAACAGCCCCAGACCATTATTCCTCCTCCACCAAACTTGCATTGGGACAGGTAGCGTTCTCCTGGCATCCGCCAAACCCAGATTTGTCCATCGGACTGCCAGATGGTGAAGCGTGATTCATCACTCCAGAGAACGCGTTTCCACTGCTCTAGAGTCCAATGGCGGCGAGATTTACACCACAATGCTGACGCTTGGCATTGCGCATGATGATCTTAGGCTTGTGTGCGGGTGTTCGGCCATGGAAACCCATTTCATGAAGCTTGTGATGAACAGTTCTTGTGCTGACGTTGCTTCCAGAGGCAGTTTGGAACTCGGTAGTGAGTGTTGCAACCAAGGAAAGATGATTTTTACATGCTACGCGCTTCAGCACTCGCCGGTCCCGTTCTGTGAGCTTGTGTGGCCTATCACTTTGCGGCTGAGCCGTAATTGCTCCTAGACGTTTCCACTTCACAATAACAGCACTTACAGTTCACCGGGGCAGCTCTAGCAGTGCAGAAATTTTACGAACTGACTTGTTGGAAAGGTGGCATCCTATGATGGTGCCACATTGAAAGTCACTGAGCTCTTCAGTAAGGTCATTCTACTGCCAATGTTTGTCTATGGAGATTGCATGGCTGTGTGCTCAATTTTATACACCTGTCAGCAACGGGTGTGGCTGAAATAGCCGAATCCACTAATTTGAATGGGTGTCCACATACCTTTTGTGTATATATAGTGTAGCTCATTCCCATCTTTGGTCTGTATATTTCTATGACTGGAATGGAACTATTTTTTTCCGCATCTCACTGCCCCTCACTACACCTCTTCTCTCCTCTCTCTCTCTGGTTCATGTAGGAGGTGGAGCCTCAGGCTGGAGGCCAGCTGCTGCTGCTGTGGGAGAGACTCTCAGGGAAACCATAGCAGCTACCACAGCAACACGAGGTACAACAGGCCCCATCTTTATCATCAGATAACCACAGGTTACACAAAATGTGACTGCAGAAATATAATTTGCACAGTGTTCAAGGAAATCTGACAAAATAACTGCTCACTCTTGGATAGTTCCATTTCTTAATTTAAAATGCACCAAACTATAGTTTAATTTTACGCAGCCTTGACCTGTTCTTTTGCTATGCCCACTTGATTCTTTTTTATTAAATACCATTACCAGTTGGCAATGTGGTAATTACATGTATTTCCTTTACCTATGAGAGATTGCACTGTTTGGACTGACCTTGAGGACCTCACCATTTGACTTGGCTATGTAGTATTATAACAGATCGAAGGCAGCATTATAACAGATCGAGGGCTAGTTTTGTTCCTGAATGTGTTTTGAACCACTTCTGTACCCACTTCTTTGTCAGTGGTCCAGTGGCTTTTTTTTTTGTAACTGAAGTTCATGTTCTGAAAGTTGTTCAGCTTTTCAGATGCAATATTGTTATTATGTTCATGTTCAAGAATGTCTAAGTGCAGAAAGATGTGTTTACATGAAGTGACCTCATGAGAGAAGCTCTGTTCCGTTTTGTTTTTAATAATCCGGATAATACAGTATATAAGGAGACTGGCATCTACCCTAACTCACAGTGAAGGATATGGGACTATGGAAGAGAGAAAGTGTACAGTGAAATGTAATGATTGGGACTATTAGTAAGGAATCGTGTCCCGTATGTCTTTTCAATGCTTCTCACAGTACATATGAGTTTCATGTACCATAGCAGTCCATGGCACACAATGTGTTGGAATGTTGTGTTAACATCTTTGAAATGCGTGTCACTGCAGTCGCCCACTGAGTGTACAAAACATTAGGAACACCTTTCTAATATTGAGTTGCACCCCCTTTTGCCCTCAGAACAGCCTCAATTTGTCAGGGCATGGACTCTACAAGGTGTCGAAAGCATTCCACAGGGATGCTGGCCCATGCTGACTCCAATGCTTCCCACAGTTGTGTCAAGTTGGCTGGATGTCCTTTGGGTAGTGGACCATTCTTGATACACACGGGAAACTATTGAGTGTGAAGACACTTAAATATTTTGTCTTTCCCATTCACCTTCTGAATGGCACACATACACAATCCATGTCTCAATTGTCTCAAGGCTTAAAAATCCTTCTTTAACCGGTCTCCTGCCCTTCATCTACACTGATTTGAAGTGGATTTAACAAGTGACATCATAAAGGGATCATAGCTTTCCCCTGGGTTCACCTGGTCAGTCTGTCATGGTGTCGTGTAAAGAGCGGGTGTTCCTAATGTTTTGTACACTCAGCGTATAACCTTGAACTGTAGCTAAGTTGTGCCTGGTGAGACCTTACTAGAGGTCATGTCTTTCTCTTTCAGTCTCTGTGTCAACGATCCAAATGTTTATGTGTTTTCATTTCAACTGATCTGTGATCGTTTGTAATTATTTTTGTACGTTTTAATAAACTAAAATTTTGGATATGAAATGTTCAACTGGGTAGTTTTTTGTATCGGTTCATGTTATCCCTGGTAAAGCAGGGGGTTAAATATTACACAATTGACTGACAAGTATGTGTTCATCTGATTCATTTAAGATATAGATAAAGACTTTATCAATAACCTGTCAGCTTTTTTATACATCCACATTGCAGTATTACCTGAAAAGGATAGTTCACCCTAAAATCAGATTATATGGTGCCAAATCTTTCCTACCTATGTGGTATTCCAGACTGTTGCATTTAAAAAAATTGTCCATAGGAGTGCAAATCAATTCATGAATTCACTGGAATTTAGACTGAGTTATTGGCACCAACCCTGACAAGAACCTTTTGATTTTGTGGTGAACAATCCCTATAAAGATGCTGTTTGCCTATTACTGTACCTCTCAGTAAGTCATAGGAAAAACACATTTCAACAGTGCAAGAAAATATTTATTTGCTACATATTTACATTCCTTCCACCCTTAGTGGATTGTACAATCCATATTTGAGTTGAAGCATTATAAATGACAACTTACTGAAGGCTACTATGCACACAGTAAAGATTCATGTACTAGAGCTTATCGTTTTTTCTTATGCAGCAAGCCCACTCTTCCTCTCCTGTGTGTGTCCTGTTGTATGTGAAAGATGTGTGTATGCTGTGTTAGATCGTTTTTTTTTTTCAGTAGTAGTGAATGTGAAACTGATCTAGGCTCTATTCTGGGTGTGTGTTCAGGTGAGGGATGGCCAGTGGTTGGTTACTGATGTCTATCTCTGCTGGTGGCATGCAGCATCCACTGCTGCAGGTCTCCTGCCAAACCTCCCATCAATGAACTGTTCTGCTCGCTAGGTGGCTGACGTTTACTGTCCTCTAGGCAGTCTGGATCCAGTAGACAACTCTCTGTAGAAATAAGAAAGAACTTAATCATATAGTAGACAAAACATCAATATGGATTTTTTTTGTATTACTATGAACTGAAGTGTTACCTCACCAACTAGTGGATGATGCAAAATGGTATATAGGCAAAAAGATCTGGGTTCAAGTATTTACACAATAAGTCACCTCTTACTAGTAAAACCAGTAAAATCACTAATATCACATCGGTTTCAAGCTCACCTCTCCATTTACTGTCTTTATCAAGTCCAGCAGACAGACAGAGGCTAGGGCTAACAAAACAAGAGGGCTGTCTTACCCGCATCACAGCAGACCCCAGGTGCAGCACAGTGTCCCTCCTCAGAGCCACACACTCTTCCTCCGGCCTGGCAGGGGGAGGGCAGGTAGTTCTCCTCCACACAACTAGCTGCCTCTGGGGAGCCCACGTAGCAGCCCATCCCTTCCCCACAGCAGATACTGGGGCCAAAGCAGAGGCCCCTGTCCCCGGGGCCACAAGACATGCACTGAAAATGTAAGGATCCTTTGTTAATCGCTGTGTGTTGAAGCGCAATTACGCACGACTAAAGCTTATCGGGAAACAACACCGCTGATTAGCCTACTGTGTTTCAGTTTTTGAAATTAATAGTAAGCTATCTAGCCTACTTTTATATAAGATTCAATACCGCAAGCATGAGCAAGAAGTCACATGAAGGACGATGTCGCCCAAAAATATCGTTAGGTTACATTTTGCGCAATGAATGTCTCTGGCAGAGCTCATTTGTAGGCTATTCACATTAAGCTGATTTGATGCTTATCTGTAAGAATTATTTTATTTTCGTGAACAACGGAACACAATTAATAGGCTACTTAATTTCAAACCAATGGATTATTTGCACCAATAGGCGTAAAGTTTTCTTAAAACAACAAAGCACTCGCTACCTTCCAGAACAACCAAATTAAAACCAACTGTTAAAATTATTGGGAACAAAACTGAATAACTTTCCTTCGAAAACAATATTTTTTCCATCGAAAAATAACTTACCTGTCTTTGCAGATCAGGAAAAGAGCGCTTCCCGCCTCGCGGACAGTTCTGGATGTAGCATGCAGAGGAGAGCGCGAGGAGCCCCAGGACGCATAGCAGTGGAATTGTAGAATCTGGCATCTTGTTCAATGTAAAGTGCTTCGTCCAATTTGTACTGTCGGCTACCGCTACAACTGAACTCTTTCAAACGGCTCGTTTTTTTTTGAATGACTAAGAACATTCAGTTTTTTATAGGGATCGTCCAAGTTGATAAAGCGTATGCTTGGCGCCCACGTCATCACATAATTTGCATCTCCCCACGGTGACCACGGCCAATGTCCGATCTGATCTCTGATAATTCAACTGTCAAAATTAGGCTAATCCCTCTCCCATTTGATTAAAGAAAGACTAATTAGAATTGACCAATGACACTGGTAAATTAGATGAATAAGACTGACACTGTCTGTCTATATACTTCAATGAGTTGTCTGGAGAGCCTATCAACGGTCAGGTTGTTGCCTATACCTATATGAAATGGTGACACCATGGACATTCCAAGCATATGTATTACAAAGAAATATAACAATTTCATTCCATATCATGCCAATGACATCAATAACTGTCTCTAAAAACACATCCTAAACCTGTATTTCTATAAAATAGACATAAAGATAATTTGTAAGTGTCTCAACTCATTTTAGGTCATGCAAGTGGTCTCCCCTTAATTAACCGTTTTCATCCCAATCGGACAAGAGACTGAGAAGAGGGGTGGCAATGTTAAAAGAGAAAGAAAGAACAGAAATAGTGAGTGATGGAGAAATGTTTGACTAAATGTGAAACAAAATGTGTGACATTGATCCAGAGTGATGTGCTTGTGACAGGTTATTAGACAGACAGGCAGACACAGAGAGAGAAAGAGAGAGCAAGCATTGTAAGACCCAGAGCGATGAGCTGCATCAGAAAACTTAAATTTTGTTTATGGCACATCAAGCAGGACCTCTGAACATGAGCTGAAGAAGCTGTCAGTCCTTTACAGCGATGCCACGGCTAATTGTTCTGAATATTTATGACTGTTACACTAAACCAGCTGTTCGTATGCGAGGCAGCAAACAAAATGGAGCAACAGTGAGAAGTCATGGGGAGCCTTCAAATGGATGGAGCAAAAATAACAATATCTACCCCCACCCCAATGGCTGTACGGAAATGATGTAATGTCACAATCACAGCCAGTGCAACTAGTTGGAAGAGGAAACAGGATTCCCAATGATATTGTTACACTAGCCTACAATGGTGCAGCTTGGCACACATTTCTTAGACTGACCAATTATTCCATACATAGTCTACTGTAGAGCTATGGCAGTGGTGGGGGAACTGGGAAAGAGACAACAATTCTGAAGTAACAATCGTTCACAGTATATAGCCAGGTTTCCATCCAATTGGCAACAGATTTTCATGCGAATATTCTAAAATCCACATAAAGAAAATATGCGCATTTTCCCACCATCGGTGTTTCCGCCAAACAGACTTGTTGCATGATGGCGTAGAGAAAACAACGTTTTCTTTTTCGTTTAAAAGCTTTCATGTACCGAATACAAATCTAAAGTTCAATATGTTTCCATCGCATTTTCAACTCTACCGATAATTTTGTCACAAAAACGGTTGCATTAAATAGCAAATGTGCGTACTCTGGTTTTGGCTCTAGCCAACAGCTCGCAGATACGGTAAACTAGTCTACATGAGATTATTATGGATAAGCGAGAGAATAATTTTATTTGTCAACCGGCAGTCAAGCATCGATCATCATGTCACCAGAATCATACCCTCGATATTTATTGCAAGGAGCATCAAGATCACCGTGCATCATAAATGTTTTAATCTGTAGCCTAATAAAACTGCATGGTTTCCCGAGTCGTAGTGGGAGTAACATGCAACGTATCATTACGTGACTCCAAATTTACTTCGATATGATGGTTATTATATAAATATTTGCGCATAAAGGCGTTTCCACCGCCATTTCTTGCATAGTTCATTTTACCTCTCACAAAAAGATCCCACCCATGTCGAACGAATAAATTATCTGTAGGCATTTATTCAATTGTACCTAAACGTCTTGTTTCCATCACAGCTGTCATGATTTTTGTAATACTGTAGGACTTTACTCGCATAAAAGCTGTGGATAGAAACATGGTTTATGATAATAAATACCTTGAAATAAACCTTGAAACCAATATCAGTTGGACATGACATCGACAGATGGAGCAGGGAGAAAATAAGCTACAGCTAGTGTGAGGTTTTGAACACGACCATGTTTATGCAGTGACATTTTACACGTTTTTATTTAGGAATAAATCAAGCCATTGGAAATTCTAATGGGCCTTTCTAAATGAGTGTTAATTCTCAGTGTCCTAACAGGTGACTTGCGTATCGTACTGGCGTTGGAATAGTACATTCTCAATAAGGGTCTAGTCAGAGGAGAAGTGACGAAACAATGCATCAAGACCTCTGAAGAGGGCCAGAGGTCAGACTCCAACGCAGAGATGCGCCAGGGGACATCGTGTGCATGTCTATAGCTCCGTTTATACATGTGGTTAACATGCATCCTACATCCCGAGCTGGTCTGTTTACACTTATAAGATCACAATGCGTCTTTTAGTCGTTTACACATGTCAAAAAATGTGGGAACAATCAGAATGTGGACAAGATCAAATCAAAATCTAATCAAATTTTATTGTTTCTAGCTACAACAGTGCAGTAATACAGAACAATACACACAAATCCCCCCAAAATAAAAATATCAAGAAATATCAGAATGAGCAATGTCAGAGTCCAGAATATAAATATAAATGTATATGATGGTGTGTATAGACAATATGGACAGTATATTAATAGAAAAGGTGGGTACAGCAGCAGTTATATAGGATGAGCCTTGACTGGAATACAGTATATCAAATACAATTTTATTTGTCACATGCGCAGAATACAACAGTGAAATGCTTACTTACAAGCCCTTAACCAACAATGCAGTTTTAAGAAAAATAAGTGTTAAGTAAAAAATAGATAAGTAAAAAAATAAAAAATAATAAGAAAAATAACAATTAATTAAAGAGCAGCAGTAAAATAACAGTAGTGAGGCTATATACAGGGGGTATTGGTACAGAGTCAATGTGAGCGGGCACAGGTTAGTCGAGGCAATTGAGGTAAGATGTACATGTGGGTAGAGGTAAAGTGATTATGCATAGATAATAAACAGAGAGTAGCAGCAGCATAAAAGAGGGGGACAATGCAAATAGTCCGGGTAGCCATTTGATTAGCTGTTCAGGAGTCTTATGGCTTGCGGGTAGCAGCTGTTAAGAAGCCTTTTGGACCTAGACTTGGCGCTCCGGTAACGCTTGCTGTGCGGTAGCAGAGAGAACAGTCCATGACTAGGTTGGCTGGAGTCTTTGGCCATTTTTAGGGCCTTCCTCTGACACCGCCTGGTATAGAGGTCCTGGATGGCAGGAAGCTTGGCCCCAGTGATGTACTGGGCCGTATGCACTACCCTCTGTAGTGCCTTGCAGTCGGAAGCCAAGCAGTTGCCATACCAGGTGGTGATGCTACCAGTCAGGATGCTCTCGATGGTGCAGCTGTATAACCTTTTGAGGATCTGAGGACCCATGCCAAATCTTTTCAGTCTCCTGAGGGGGAATAGGCTTTGTCGTGCCCTCTTCACGACTGTCTTGGTGTGTTTGAACCATGATAGTTTGTTGGTGTAGTGGACACCAAGGAACTTGAAGCTCATATGAAGTGGGTAAAACAGTATGTAAACATGATTTAAATGACCAGTATTCAATTACTATGACACATAGGGCTGCAGCTTTGATGCACCTCTACTGTCTCCGCCTTCTACATGGTAGCGTGGTGAACAGGCCGTGGCTTGTGTGGCTGAGATCCTTGATTATGTTCTTGGCCTTCCTGTGACACCAGGCACTGTAGATGTCCTGGAGAGCAGACAGTGTGCCCCCTGTGATGCGTTGGGCTGACCGCACCACCCTCCGGAGAGTGCTGCGGTTGCGGATGGTGCAATTGCCATACCAGGCGGTGATACAGCCCGACAGGATGTTCTCAATGGTGTATCTGTAATTCGTGAGGGTCTTAAGGACCATGCCAAATTTCTTCAGCCTCCTGAGGTTGAAGAGGCGCTGTTGTGCCTTCTTCACCAAACTGATCAGGCAACATGGTCTCAGAGCATTTCGTATTATTCTGTACGTAAATCCAAGTCACCCATTTAGTATGATATGTCACGTTTCGTATGGTATGTGTTAATTTGTGGATGTCCATCATCCATTTCGTATGATAGGCTACAAATGATAATTTGTATGATATGTTACGAATTGCAATTCGTACAATACAGTTGAAGTCGGAAGTTTACATACACCTTAGCCAAATACATTTAAACTCAGTTTTTCACAATTCCTGACATTTAATCCTAGTAAAAATTCCCTGTCCAACTTTGGAAGTATGCTTGGGGTCATTGTCCATTTGGAAGACCCATTTGCAACCAAGCTTTAACTTCCTGACTGATGTCTTGAGATGTTGCTTTAATATATACAAATAATTTTCCTTCCTCATAATGCCATCTATTTTGTGAAGTGCACCAATCCCTCCTGCAGCAAGCACCCCCACAGCATGATGCTGCCACCCCCGTGCTTCACGGTTGGGATGGTGTTCTTCGGCTTGCAAGCACCCCCTTTTTCCTCCAAACATAACGATGGTCATTATGGCCAAACAGTTCTATTTTTGCTTCATCAGACCAGAGGACATTTCTCCAAAAAGTATGATCTTTGTCCCCATGTGCAGTTGCAAACCGTAGTCTGGCTTTTTTATGGCAGTTTTGGAGCAGTGGGTTCTTCCTTGCTGAGCGGCCTTTCAGGTTATGTCGATATAGGTCTCGTTTTACTGTGGATATAGATACTTTTGTACCTGTTTTCTCCAGCATCTTCACAAGGTCCTTTGCTGTTGTTCTGGGATTGATTTGCACTGTTCGCACCAAAGTACGTTCATCTCTAGGAGACAGAACGCGTCTCCTTCCTGAGCTTGTATGACAGCTGCGTGGTCCCATGGTGTTTATACTTGCGTACTATTGTTTGTACAGATGAACGTGG